TGTAGAAAACACTTGATCTTTGAGTTGACCAGATTTGGGCCCCAAGCTTGTTCCTGAGATGTATGTAGAAATATTTTCTAAAATACCCACAAAGCTGACATTTAATGCTCTCACATATTTCAGACAACAACTCCCGTGAACACCAAGAATTCTCTGTATCACGGGGTCCAGAATAATGCTTGCCCCCAGTTAGGGGTCACGGCAGACCACCAAATGACCTGGCTTGTCTTAGGCGCACCAGCTTCAGAGTGACTAGGTTCAGCGCTCAGATCTCCCGCTTCTTAGTCGGTGTGACTTTGGGAAATGTACTTAGCCTCTCAGACAAAATTTCCTTACCATAAAATACGGATGTTAACAGTTGCATTTCATGGATGTAAGGATCAACTGAGATAATACAAGCACACATCCTAGCATAGGGTAAAACTCAGTAACTCCTAGCTATTATTAGTACTATTTTAAAGTGTAAATAAAAGCTACTTTCTTCCTCAAAATCAGTGGCTTTGCCTTATTCTTGGTACAAAACCCACAGCTCTCCTTGGCCAATCTGGGCAAAATCTGGCCCTCCCTGACCTCCTCTCTCCACCACCCTCCTACTCACTCGCTCCCTCAGCCTCACAGACCCTCTGTCACTTCTGCCAACACAAGCTCCTTCCCTCCCTTGAGCATTGTTCCTGAACACATGGGGTCAGACGCATCCTTGCTTTGCCATGTTGTTGCTTTTGCAGCTGCTACTACTGTGTGTGTGTGTGTGTGTGTGTGTGTGCGTGCGCGTGCGTGCATGTATTTTAAATCACAGAAGTCCTGGCTGCAGAAGAACTCGTAAGGTTCTTCCACAGTTCCATTCACTTGGCTAATGTCCAAACAGCCAGTTCATTCAGCAAAATCTGCGCATTGCAGCACCCAGCGAAGGCTCCTGATTGGCTGGTCAGACAACCAATCAGCTTCCAGGGAGAAGGTTCCCTTTCACACAGCGATTGGCCGAGAGACCTCAGACTCGGCCCCCCACCCTTGCTGCCACCGCACTGCCCTTACCACACCAGGGGGCCTAGAAGGAGAGAAAAGGGGATGCCTGGGGCACACAGGTGGGCTGCGGAGCCAGCAGAACAAGACACAAAAGCAGAAACATAGGGCGGATGCCCGGTGGTGGAGAAACCAAATGAGGTCAGGAGGCCTGTGTGCCAGGGCCACCAGCGAGCCACGGTACTGAATGGGGTCATGAACTGAATGGGGTCCTCCAAATTCACATGTCGAAGTCCCAACGCCCCATACCTCAGAATGTGACCCTACTCAGAGACAGGGCCTTTAAAAAGATAATTAAGGTTACATGAGGACATCAGGGTGGGCCCTTAATCCAGTGTGACTGGTATCCTTATAAAAAGGGGAAATTTGGACACAGACACAGAGGGGACAGCACATGAAGACATGGGGAGAAGACAGCCATCTATAAGCCAAGGAGAGAGGCTTGGAAGAAAGCTACCCTCTGACACCTGGATTTCGGACTTCTAGTCTCCAGAACTGAGAAACAACACATTTCTATTGTGCAAGCCACCCAGCCCATGGTACTCTGTTGTGGCAGCCCTGGCGAACTAATACACCCAGCGTGTCTTAACGTTCCAGGGCCTCAATCTCCACAGCTGCAAAATGGGACACCTGGCCTGCCCCTCCCACAGGTGTGCTGCGGGGATCGACTGAGGCTCAAGGTGGGGAAGCTTTGTCAACCATACAGAATTCCACGGATGACCTCGGGAGGTCTAACTTCACTCTCAGGGCCCTGGTCCTGGGGTCCCGGGCAGTAAAGCAGATAAAGTCAGAAGCCCCTGGGGACTGTGGGGTCACAGTTAGAGATGAAGGAGCTAGACCAGTGCCTTGGCAATCCCCTGCTCCAAACCTCCAGGGAAGAGGCTGGAGCTGCCCTCCTCCACAGTTATTTAGTGGATGTGGGAGAAACAGAACTTGCGTGGGAGAAGGAAAAGAGAACAGAACAGAAATCAGAGATTTCTAAGAAATGAAAAGAAAAAAAAAAAGCCACATTTATGTCCCTGGGAATTTTCTGGATGAAAACAATACATTTTATTTGTATGGTACTCTGCAGGTCACAAAATACTTGATAGCAGTAAAGATTTTTCTTTAACCTATCTGAGGTCAACAATCTGATGAAAGCTATGCACCCTCTCTTCAGAAAAAAATTAACCCATGCACTCAACATCTAAAACATTATACACCAGCATGGTCCTATCCTGCAATGATGAAAAAGTTCTGTATCCATACTGTCCAATATGGCAGCCACTAGCCACGTGTGGCTATGGAGCCCTTGAAATGTGGCTAGTGGGACTGAAGAACTGATTTTTAATTATTTTATTTTATTAATTTTAATTTAAATATCCATCTATAGCTAGTGGCTTCTATATTGGACAAGGCAGTTATACAATATTCCAGAGGACTTACAAACACCCTGAAGTTCCACTGACTCTTGCCAATGGACCAAGTTAGGAACCACTTGTAATGATTGTACTGTCTTCACAATAATTATCTTTTTTGAGCTTACCAGAACCTGTATCATCTAATTTAATCCTACCAACAACCCAAAGAAAGAGGTAGAACTGTTATCAGCATCTTACAGGTGTAGATATTGAGGCCCTGAGAGGCCCCCCAACTTGCCCAAAGTCTCATGTCAAGGCCACAGTGAAGGATTTGGGACTAAAACCCAAGAGCCTGATGTGAGAACTCAAGCTCTTTCCTGAGTCCCCAAAACCTGGTGATAGGGTTTTATGAATTGAGGCCCAAGCTCCCACCTGAGGCCTCGATGGAAATTATTTCTAGTCACCCAAAGAACTTTAAATTATGTGGTACCTATCTTCAAAGTTATAAGCAAGGGTCCTTCTCTATGCCAAGAAATCCCAAACACAGCACACTGGTCCACACTGTGGAGGTCATCCTTCACAAGTACCTTCAGGTTCCCATGGTAACCAGGCCACAGGGAGCAAAAACACTCAGAATTGTATAAAACTCACTCTCCTCCTGCATTGTGTGTCCCCACTCACTTCTAACCTCTAGAAGTTCCTCTCATTTGCAGACATACTCAGATTTGTTTTCTCAACCTGGAATTCTCCTTTCCCCAATTCTTCCTCAAAATAACTCCTTCAAGGCCCAGCCTATATGCCACAAAAACTTCTAAGCTCCAGGACTCTATGGTCCCAGAATATGTTGCTTGCGTATCTACGTAACATTCTTCTGTCATGCCTTGTAGGGTGCCTTGAATAGGAGATCCATAACCTGGTGTCTCTTTCAGTTTCTAACCACATTGAACATGGTGCTTAACACGGTCACTCAGTAGACCAGTGGTTCCCACACTTGTTAAAACATGGACTGCCGGGCCCCACCCCCAGAGCTGCTAATTCAGCAGGTCTTCAGTGAGGCCCTGGAATCTGCATTTCTAACATCCCAGTTTATATGGATGTTACCGGTTCAGAGACTGCACTTTGAGAATCCCTGCAAGAGATGTTTGTGGAATGAATACATGATTGAGTGAATGAAAATTTCTCTTAAGCATCCTCTCCCCAAGGGCTCCAAAAATGAGCTTTAGAAAAATCAAGATAAAAATTGTCACCAACATTTACTTCTAGATGAGGAGCAAAAATAGAAGCAACAGGGAGAAAAAATGGCCAAAAACAGCAGGGAACCAGAAGAAGGAAAATTTAAGATAGATACCAGAAAAACTTTCAGGTTACCATCTGGTTTCCTCTTAGCCATTACTGTGTAAACGTATTAGGATCAGACCACAATTAAAAATACTATGATGAGACCAAATTAAAAATAGGTTCAGTTTTCTGACTCAACCATTTATTTAAAAATATTCTGGAGAAACACTCTGACTCAGTAAGTCCAAGCCTAGAAAAATTTTCATAAGACAAAAAATAATAATTATCAGAAATGAATATAAAAATGATTACAAGGAGGGTCACAAAAGCCCTGCTTATAACCACCAGAAATTTGAAACAACTTAAATGTTTAATAAAAGAAATTAGATCCAATAAATTATGGTACATCCATAAATGGAATACTCTATAAAGCCTTTTAAAATGTCCTTACAGGGAATATCTATTGACCTAGGAAAGGGTACAGGATATAAAACATGAAAAAAAAATTAAGTCAAAAAACAGTATAAACAGTATGCTCTAACTTTGGATAAAAATCATATAGATATAGAGAGATAGATAAAAATATAAATATAGCTAGAGTGCTATTTATCAAATGGGGGGTTAGAACTGAAATTATTTTGAAATTTTAAATTGTGTATCTCAATCATTTCTGCCACAAATACATATTGCTTGAGTAATGTTTTTTACAGATTTAAAAAAAAAAGAGAGATAGGCTATAGGAAGTTTATACTCGCCATTTCTTCCCAGGAAGGAGTAACAAGTTGAAGCACGAGCATTTTTGTAACTTTCTCCCGGCCCCACTCTCCTACAAACACCGACTACAACTTGGATTCCATCGGTGAAGCATCTGCTCCACCGAGAGATCCCTCTTCTTTCTTGGTACTTCCGGGACCTGCTCGAAGATAATTCCCAACTCAAAGAGCCTCCACTTGGAGTAACTCATGACTCCACCACTGGGGCATCTGCGTTGGGGAACGACATTGACAATGGATCCACCGTGACCCTGATCACCCAGCAAACTGCCATTTTTTGGAAACCGTGGCTGTCTCCCCTACCGGCTTTTAATAAGTCGGGTTGCTTAGCAACCGCCAAGAACTGGCAAGAAGGCAGAAGGCAGCACCAGCCAGAGCTATTTTACGACCAAAGTGAGCTGTGCTACGTGTGTCTGGTTGCATTCAAGGTAACCAAGTAAGAGATAACACCTAGCTATTTTTGCATCATGAGGAAAAATACCTGGCTTCTGACCAGAAGGGCAATTACCTAAAAATCTTGGCAGGCCCCATTCATGGTATGAGAAATGGTAACTGGTACACGGGTGAAAAAAAAAAAAAAATCACTGACCTTCATAAATACTGATGATATGAGGATGGTTGAGGGATGACATGATCTCAATCTCTCGTCTGATGTGAACCATGTCTTGTTCATCCTTAATTTTGTCCTTACGAATGGATTTTATAGCAACCTATAAAGTCAGGAAATGAAATGTTACCCAGAGAACTAAACAGATGCAAATCAGCCATTGGGGGAGTTTGGAAAATAAATACAGATGTTACTTGTTGGCAGAACCGACAATAACCAAAACAAAGCTTTGAAATACCCCCTGTCATGTCTTTCATTTATAGCAAAAACACCCTTCTCCTAACAACAGAAAACATCAGGTTCCAACAGCCTAGGGTTTGGGATGCTGGGTTGGCTTTTTTTTTGTTTATTAGAGGGTTTTTTGTTTTTGTTTTTGTTTTCCATAAAGCAGAGGCTGCTTCATGTGGCCAGATCCATTTGCTCCAGGGATCCTGATCCTTTGAAAAAAGGAAAAAGGAGAGCTCGGTTTACAGGGTCTGGATGATTAAATATGGATGGGTGAAATCATTATCACTCAGCTCCACCGGGCAGTTGCCGCAGCAAAGACTAGAAAAAGCTTTACTGCATGGGGCTTCTCGAGGCCAGTTCTGCTCAAACGTATGGTTTTCAAGACTCCAGCCTGTGCTGTGTTTGTGCAATTGCTCAGCGGCCAAATCCTTCCTTCATCCTTCCTCTTGCCCAAGGACCTTTGATACACGTGACAAGACAAAAAGGCTCTGCTATAGAAAAATCAGGACAAAACAAAGGGAGTGACAGCCAGACTCCCTGCCCAGCCCCAGTCGATTCCCGTGCCAATGTCTGTAAATGCAAACTGTAGTGAGCTGCCAGGGCCAACGCACAGAGCAGTTCCTCAAAAGAAACACATAAATAAAAAAGCATTAAATGACAATGGGAATCTAATAAGGAAAAACGTGTTTGCCAATGGACTCATCTTTGCTCATAAACAAGTTGCTTCGTAATTTAATCCACCCTGGCTCTAAGGGAGGCAAAAAGTACTTTGGAGGGGGAAGGTGTCCATGGGTAACAAGGAAGCCTGCCAACCAATGTGCTGCCATCTCCAAAAGCCTGCTTAGTCCCCTCCAAAGTGGTCCCCCTGTGATGTCAGCTCTCACCTGGACCACCCTCTCCTAGATGAAAGGCACTTAGCCCATCCCTCTGGATCACAAAGGCATGAAGTGCTCCTTGTTCCCAGCAGGCCATCCCCACACCTGGATTAAGATAGGGTGAAGCCCTGTCAGCCTCAGCAGGAACGCACTCCCACCTGTGAGCATTAGCATCTTCTGGCTTACACCAGGTCCCCACCAAGCACGATACATGGAAACATTTCTTTTTTTTTTTTTTTTAAGATTTTATTTATTTATTTGAGAGAGAGAATGAGATAGAGAGAACATGAGAAGG